ACATTTAAGTATGAAATCTCCATTTTTTCGAATAAATCCATAGAGTTGATCCTTATCATGTTTAACATCACATATAGGACATTCTTTAACCGATTGTGATTCAAAGCTGATAAACCCTTTCTCGGTTCTTCCAATCTGGAGCCACCCATATTTTGCAATAACTAGATTGGCTCCTTTAACTAAGGTATTTTTATCCTCGATAGGTTGGTATTCTTCTACTGGCTTCTCATCAGAAAAGGTTCGTGGCCAGATCACAGAATAATTCCCTTTAGGCTGAACCAAATAATCGTCTAGATTTTTAAATCCGTTTTTAACAGAAGAAATAGCAGGTCTTTTTATGCGTCCTTCTTTTGCGGATCCAAGAAGCCGAAGATTGAAATGTTTTTTGGGAAGGCCAACATCTATAAACTCAGAATAAGGTTTCCCAACTAATTCCATAACTTTTTCTGTAAAACCTTTAAGTTCTCTATAATCTATGAATCGAGCACGAGGATAAATAATATGCCAACTGCATTTATTAGCATTCGATGAACTTGCTAATGCAAAAGAATTTAAGAAAGGCATACAATCTGGTATCAGGCTTAATGCATCCGCACAAGCAACTAAAATTCTAGACATCAAATCTCCACGAGTAATTTTCTTACTATCTAGAGAAGGAAGTTCAGAATTAGATGAATCAGGCTTTTGCCTTGCATCAATATCGATTATTAAACGAAGAGGCTGATTTCCATCAATACATTCATGAGTATTAGGTATTCCATAAACTTCGGTAGGATGATCGATCACTGTATAACCTTTTCCTGCCACCCTAATTATATATTGAGAATAAATCTCTTCGGGTTGGTATACCTCTAAAAGTGCTATTTCGTTTCTATCAGCAGAGTTAGTATGACCATTTGATTTAAGCCAGTATTTATAATATGTATGTCCCCCATGGCCAGGTTTATAATCAAGATTCGTTAAACCTTTGAGAATTATTTTGGCTTCGTTATATTCAGCCAATTTTTGATTTAAACGCTGTTGTTGTAATGATTCACATAGATGTTTTTTTGCCTCACTAGACAAACTCATTTTATTGATTTGTATATGCTGTATATAGTTATAAACTAAAAGTATTATACTTAACCCAGAAATAAAAGTGTTATACTTAATCCGAAAAACTTTAAAATGAAATTAATTATTCTATACAATTATTCTATACAATTATTATTGCAATAAATATGGGACTGGGACTTTATCGTTGTCCTTATATTCTTAGAACTGGCAAAGTCTGTGGTCAAGGTTGTAATCAACCAGAAGGATGTAAACGTCATCGAAATTCTCCGACATGGATTCCTTGTAAAGAATATGGCTGTTGTAAGCTAACATATTCTACATATGTTGCATGCCAGAATCATGCGAGTAAGTATCGAAAAAGAGAATATTATCAACAAAAAAAGCAGGATGAATTACGTGCAAAAATTGTTATGCTTAAAAATCATATATCCGACTTATCTAATTCCGGGCACGAACTTTAGTGAGTAGACAATTCTAAAATTAGGCGAAATACCTTAATATACTGCTATAGGGAATTTTTCTTGGCATTTTTCCGAGACGGCCCGTCCCGCAAATTTTAATTGCGTGAACAATGTGAACTCGCACGTGAATTTTTCTCTGGCTTCGAGTATATGCGAGAAGGCAGGATTGTGGTAAGCTAAATAGATCTATTCATAATGCATGTGATAAACACGTAGGCAAGTATCAAAGTAGAGAGAATTATCACAGAAAAAAGCAAGCCGAATTACGTGCAAAAATTGTTATGCTTGAAAATCATATACCCGACTTACCCGATTCTAGACATGAAGTATAATCATATGCTTGGTATATATGAATAATTTTTTCCAGGATCTCTTTGAGTAATGCTATATCTTCTTTGATCCCATTGATATTCTCATTAATTTTATTACGTAGAGCTATAGATTCTAAAACCTTTGATCTATTCCGTGCCTTACTCGTGTTCATTTTCCGATAGAATTACATTAACCAGGACCCATTCAATTTTTGGGTATACCAACCTGAGATAATTAATTTCGATTTGAAAAAAGAATCACCATAGTATATATCTGAGACATTTATAGTATAAACCCAAGATATTTATAGTATAAAAATATATTAATCAACTTTATTATCTATGGCAAAAATCGCTACAGAATTTTACAATCGCTACAAATTGTTACCCCAAACTAGCTTATCCCAGCTTAGTAATTACGTTGAAGAGTTGGCCGGTAAACTCTCAGATGGTAAGACAAAAGAGCAGGCGGGAAGAGCCAGAGATCAAGCTAGAAGACGCTTTCGGGAATTGGGTCTTAGTGAAGAGCAGGTATATACTCTTATTTCTAAACAGGCACCCGGACGACGTGTAGTTGGAAGAGATCCCATCAAAGTTATAGCTAGGCATATTATGGAAAATGATCTCTCACCCGAAGAGATAAATGAGATAGCAAATGATTTGGTTAACACAGCTCCAAATGTTGTTGCTGGAGTCTCATGCCTTACATATCTTCGAAAAGAATTAGAATCTCTCAGTGCTGATAGTCTTATGCTAGAAGTGACGAGTCTACCCCACATTACCAAAGCATCCAATAAAGAACAGGAAATACGACATGAACTTAATAAAGACAAAGATATGGATTGTCCTGAATTCTTTTACTTGGAAAATGTTCAGAAAAGACTTAGTAAATGTGATATTACCAAACCCTCTTCTATGCAGAATTTGATCGATGTAATAGTAATGTTATCTATAAGATCAGCAGATGTTGCAACTCTTCGTATTGATCACTATCCATCAAGCTATGAAAAATGGTATGATTCTAAATATTCTTGGTATTGCACTAGCTATGCCAAAAGTCAAATTGATGAATTTTTATCATTCTTTTCAATGAAAAGGAATTCAAAAAGAGCAATAGAACTGCTCACCTGGATCCAGAAGGCAATTCCAAAGACTTTTTCATTTCTGTTAAAAGATGAAAATGGTTATGTAAAAGTTTATCCACTTAATCGATTTCTAGCTCCTCATAATATCACCTTATATCATTTAAGAAAAATAGGTGCTGATCATGTATCAAGAGTCTATGGTGACAAAAATGATTCTTGTCGCCAAAGGTATCGAGATTTAGCAACGCGTCATAAAAAAGGATATAGAGCTATAGCACGACATTATGGTGTGATGAATGATAGGTCAATTATTCCAGCACCTAAACCAATCACCTCTATGATTAAACAAGAATACGATGAAGTATCAGATATCATTGATCTATATAGGGAAGTTTCTGATGATGAAGACTAATTGCGCTTCTTTGCTTTTATCTCATTCACTCTAATTTCACCCTCTCCATCACTAGACGATTCAGAGCCAGACCCAGACTCAGACGAGGATGAAGATGAGGTATAGTTAATATTTTTTCTATGCATTTTACACTTTTTAACCTTGATAATATGTGGATTTCCTATAAAATTTATAATGTCTTGTTGAATCTTGGGTTTTACTATTTTCAGTAATTGGCTAAGAGAAATCTGAATTTTTTTATCTGATACTTAACTAACAATACTGGATATCGTATTAATAGTATTCTGTTGCTTTGTAAAAGACTTGATCACTGTTTTAATACTTTCACATAATTCTTGAGACAGATAACTATTGGTCATCCCAGCTCTGCTGATATTATCTTTAACTATTGCTTCATTTATAACAGACTTGTTATTAACTTCAATCATCATATATTTTGAATTATCTTTTATTAATAAGCGATAAAAAATACATTATTGAATATAATACTCTGTCATGCTTAATTTACTTGATCTTATTCCACCAGAATTAATACCATTTATTACGAAGTATCTTCTGATTCAAGATCTTAAAAACTGCTGTAGTCTAGATAATCTATGAAAAACCGAAGTTATTAGAGAAATTCGCAAAAGATTAATAGTGGACTGTACATTTATTAATACCAAAACAACTGTTAAAGGATTGATTAATCCCAAATCTCGGTATAAACAGTATTAGCAAAAAACTTGCCAAAAAAATGAATTTATATATTACTAGAATGTATGGATCAAAATATCCTGCAGTAAAAGATCTTGGTATTGGCGCAACAAATGCTGGTAAAAAAGTGATGGTAAGAGGATGGCTTCATGATGAAGAGATTTCTGTTTCTTTACCCAATATCTTTGAGTTGGAACCCCCCTCATATTTGGATAAATCATATGAGCATTTCTTAGTCATTGACAAACCTGAATATGACTTAGTTTTGGGGAGTACATGGCTAACGAGATTGGGTAACAGGATTGATGGACATGATGGGAGATATTGGGAATCTAATGAGGAAAAAAGGATATATTATGCAAGAAATAACATTGATATTCTGTCTCCTTCATTATATACATTCTACGAATTATTATTTCCTAAATTTACTACAATTAATTCAAATGGGGAAGCTATATTAATAGAGTTTTCTGATCAAAATATGGAGAATACCCTGATTGATCTAAGCAAATATTACGATTCAGAATATTCCGAAACAGAGTCTGAATCTAGCAATTCTGAGATTGAAGTAGTGGATGTACCTTCCCCAGTTATAAGTGGAATGATACAAGATAATAGCGGAGCTAGTGTTGAGACACATAATATGATTTTATTTCCACATTCAATAATTATCTCAGAGAGACTGGCGTGATTATTCCTAATTATCCATCGTGGGTTACAAATAATTGCATCTAGTAGTGAAGAATCAGTAATTAATTATTAGTTATTTGATTTTTCGGGTAAAGATATATATCATTAAATATACGTAACATGACTCATATAAAGCGAAATTTTACTATGTTTTTTTTTCATTTTTTGCAGGAACACAAAATGGCTGATACCGATGATATTACCGTTGAATTTCTTGTCAATGGCACAAATGTTATCCACACGCTCACAACATCCAGAGGCACAACAATCGATAATCTCAAGACTATGATCAGAAACCAGTTATCGCCTCAATTCAATAATGTTCCTAATATCAATCTCCGTCAAGCTCATCCATTAATGCCCAGGCGTTTACATCGAGGTGCTACGATTTCTACTTATTTGAGGCCTCTTGCGGTAGAATTTTATGTATTCGTGTATCCTCCTGCCCAAACATAATTTTCTATTTGTATTAGTCGTCGCCTTTAAAGGCATTTTTTCATAAATAAAGCAAGCGCATTACGCGTGATTCTCTATTTATCGAAATACCTGGCGATACAGTAATTTGAGCTTGCCACTCCAAATATTCAGGAGTTAATGTTTTGATTCTGTGCTCTGCTCTTCCATATTAACGTTCTACATAATCATAAATTAATTCAAAATTAGATAGACTTTTCGTAGCATGATCGCGTATCGATTGTGGAAAATACCAAGAAAAAATAAGTTATTTCATTAATATTTGAATGTTAATCCGTATGCATGTAATCACGGAAAATGATTTATGCTGGTTATATGTTATTCAATCTTATGCCTTTACAGTTACTATTTGGATTGAATTCTGATATTTATTTCCCCAGCATCTGAGGTGATAAGTTCTTGTATTAACATAACTACCACTGCCCCATTCACCTTCTAAATTTTCCTTTTTATGAACTTTATTGCATATACGACATGATGTTAAACAAGTAAAGTAATCAACATTTTTATTACTGTAGTTAAAAGATAAATTGGTGACCTTTTCCAATACCATTTTAATTACATGTTTTCGTTTTTCCTCGGGATTGCTGGGTAAAATAGAAATTGGAGGTCGAGATTTGGTTGGCATAGGTGGTGTACTTACCTCAGTTTCTGATAAAACTTGATCGTTCCCTGGGGGAACGGTTTTTGATTTCACCTGATCTATAACATACTGGATTTGTGCATTAGTCAATTTTGAAATCTCATTAGCACTATATGTAATTAACTTAAATTTATCCATCCCAACTCCCTTTTCCCCGAATAACATAAGAAGTTTTCTAGCTCTAAGGGTTTTTTTGCGTAAATTATCTTGAGTAATGTTGGGAAGAAAAAGTTTTATTTCTTTGTAAATCATTGTTCTTGCTGTCTTATCTTTGATCTTGCCATCAGATGTAATGGCACAAACCTTGCTTTCAAATTCAAGAGAATAGTAGTACCAGTTTAAGATTTCCTGTTGCCGAGATCTCATTGCCGTTTTAAATAAATAAGCTAGATGTTGAGCCGAACCTTTATTCTCCGATATATTAATTTCAGTAGAGCTGGTATTATCTATCGCAGAATTCTCAGTAGATAAACACAATTCTTCTATTAAACCCTGCTCTACGATTTGATTTTTATCAGTCTCATCATCTTGCTTTAATTCAGATATTTCAGTTTGATCATTTCCCGAACAAATGGTTTTTCTACTTGAATCTTGATCGTTCCCTGAGGGAACGATTTTTATATCACATGATTCGGATGTCGCTAAAGAAACATCGTGATTAACTGAAGATATGTCTGAATTTTGATCCTGAAGTTTCTCCTCATGCTTTCTCTGCCTGATCGAATCGCTAACCCTTTTCTTATGTACCTCGTCCAGGAATTTATCGATCACTTTAGATGCATTAGCATCCTCAATCCGAGAGTCTTCTGGCGATTTAGCCTCCGGCTGAGTCTTCGTATCCTGGTATACATCAAAATTTGGAGCGTTATCGGATACATCATAATTTGAAGTATTATCAGATATCGAGGTATCCTTGCATTGTGAAACTGTCTGATCAAGTGTATCATCAGAATTTACCGAAGATTGTGAAACGTCTTTCGTAGAAAGTGTATCAATGGCAGTTTGATGGCATTCCATGTTCTTATCTTGCATGCTCTGTTCCTTGATTAATGAGACATCGTGTTGCAATTTAGTAATAAGGATCGACTTTTCTTTGTCCTTCTGCTCTAGTTTTACAAACCTGACCTCGATTTCTTCTTTATCTTGTTTTAATTTTGTATTCTCGGCTTTGATCTCGGCATTCTCCTTTCTAAGCTCAGCAATCGTGGCAATGAGTTGAGAATTTAATTCTTGCAATGAATCGATTTTGGATTGAGTGTCTGACATTACTTTACACAAAATGCAGATATGTTCAAAAGTTTATTGAACTATGATGTGGTACCAGATGACTAAGACATATCGGACTGTGCAACACGAACTGGAAAAAATAAAAATCATCTATCACGTGGCACCGATTTAAAGGCGAGAGCACCATCCCAAGCTCTTTTAGGATTGATAAATAATGAGCGCCTTCCGAACAAGTGAGATTAAAAGGTCATTAAAATCTATCATTTACTTTTTTGGGTCAATAAAATGTTTGGATCTAGTGAAACTGCATGAAAATAGTCTCGTCCATAATTCTGTATGTTTATGTAGAAATGTGACAAGGTGATCCAAGAACTATAAAAAAGCAGGGCCACGGGATAAGAGAATAGGAGTCGTACAGTATGGCCTCAAATTAACAATTTAAAACAGCCCACCGAACATGAAAGAGATCGAGGGAAATAGGGTCAGGTAGAGGGGGTGAGGGAATCACGAAGGTAGGTGGCATCCCATCATAAAGGCATCTCAATGGGATATTGATCACGCATTGTCCCGGTACAATGTTGAGGGGATTTCCTTGACGATCAATCGTGCCGAATTCATACTGAATAGAGAACACATAAGATTCGTTCAATTCTGTGGTAAAAAAGCACGTAATAATATAACGTACCATGATGGGAGCGAGTGCACCAACGGCTGTTCGATTATTTATACAATAATGCCAAGCCTGTTAAAGAACGAATATCATTTAAATGATGCCAAGGGCAAATTCCAGAAATTAAATCTTGCGATTACTTACCGTCATCTCCGTTGGGCGCATGCCTGGTATATAGTTGAAGTTAATGCCAATTGCATCGTGAGCTCTATTAGGAGCGAGCCAGTATGTCTCTATCTTCTTCTTAAGTTCCGCCTCAGTTACGGCATAAGCGACCTCTATTACAAGATTGGGCCAGGGTTTATTCTAAGAGTACATGTCATCACCAACATTAGAATTCTCAACATAATCACATGAGAAAGCGAATGAGATAAACTCTTCATACCCCTCCATCAGATCCACCACTGGGCACTTGAAGTTTTCCTACAGGTGTAATAGACCCATCTGCTTCACTGCCTCTTTGTGGTGTTTTTGTTGCTATTATTCAAAGATGGTGAGTAATAGAAGCATACCTAGAATACAGTAGCAAAAAAAGCAACAAAACACTCACTCGTCGCACCAAAGAAAATAAGATCAGAATTAGTGCTCGCTACAGGAAGAACTGATGCGCCCAAAAACTTCATTATGGTAGCGACGCAAGTCTCGTGAAACATTGAAGGAAGTTCGATAACACGAACGGTTCCATTTTCCCACTCCCAAAGACCCTTCACTTTATATTTATCTGTCTTCAAAATATACTCATCAAGCGACACACCAGTCTTGAGTTCGTATGGTAAGCTTGACGATAAATAACAGCTGGTATCAGCCACTAGCTTATAAAATATCGAGTCGTCGAAGCAAATAGGAGACTTACGTCGCCTCATTCCACATAGCTTTGGGGTGAATGTTACCGGTCTTCCACCAAAGCTGGCGGTAATAATTGACATCCTTCACCAAACCACTAAGAGAAGTAGAAGCCTCCGTTGCGCTAGACGTGGCTATTTTTCGACAATAAGTAATATAATCCCGCATTTGAAGCAAAATAGGAAATTCACACCTCTCGAGATTGTTCGACGCGGAATCGCGGTAAACAGATTTTTTTTCGTTCCAATAAGTTGACAAGTTTTGAGATATCAGATATGTACTTAGATTACGCAAGCAAATACGCTTCTGAAACATTCCGTCACACAATAATCATGTGCATGCTCAGGTGTAGTAATTCAATATCACAATCAAAGTCACGTTTGCCAAAACTCCTATGAGAAGCTATCCACAATACTTTGGATTTGTGTGCCCGTCAGATTCGAAATTGTGTTTGCACTATATGTCTGAATTCGTTTGATTTTTTTCACACCAATCTGACTAAACAATGTATATATGGCTCTCGCCTTCTGAGTCTTTTTTCGCAAATTGTCTTTAGTTATGTTTGGAAGATGGACTGCCATTTCATTATATACCTGAGACCTTGCCTGTCTATCACCGATTCTATTGTCAGCATTCACAATTTCTTTAACCCGTTTTTCAAACCCTTCCGCATAGTAATACCAGCACCAAATTTCCCCTTGATATGCATAAGTCACGCGTTTTTCTGCCTTGATTGCTTTTTGGTATAGCCGGGCCAAACTTTGGGATAATGATCCATCAGGTATCTCATTCTCATCGGCTTCCTCAGATTCACCTTTAGTGGGTGTGGATAGTTCGGTTATCAAACCTTGTACTTTATTCTGATATTTCTGAACAGGTAGAAAATAGTTCCAATATATTCCAGGAAAATGATGGCCGATGTTCTGTATCTCCTATTTCCCCTGAAACAAATTCTAACGATACTCATAAACAAGTAGTCTCACAAAGTAAGGATGCGCCGGCATCGGAAGACAAGGAAATGGATGCTTTCTTGAATGAGGTGCATAAGAAAAAGTTAACGACGCAATTAAGCAGAGAAATTGGGAAAAGAAACTTCAAGCCCAAGAATCCCATCCTGAAGAGAAAATGCCTCAAGAGCTCAACTCAGTTATTCAACCATGCAATAATTTAACATCCGAAGTCAGTGAAAACGTCGACCTAGGTTCGCTCAAGTGTCCTACCTCTGATGCAGTGATCTATGATCAAAAGAGAGTTGCTGGGGGTAACAGATCACATAAGAAAAGAGGAATGGATGAACTCAAGCACAAATTATTCAATCCCCCTTTGGAATCAGATAGTCCATCCTCTATAAATCATAATAATGTGACTGAAATTTTCAGGACGGGCCATCTCGGAAAAGTTACCTATGACAACATTGATAAAGCTTCACAACATCTAGCTCAATTATGTTATAAAGCTATCGATGCTGAAGATAGAGCAAATCGAGCTAATCAGGAAGAAATTCTATGTTGGTGCCTCTACTGGAAGGATTTCAGAAATCAGCTTGATGAGATTATCAGAAGCGGTGATGGTAAAATTAGTGAAAAGAAGGCAAGAAGTATACTTTATGATACCATCACAGAACAGCTTTCTATCCTCCGCAAGAAAAGATCACAAGAATTGGAGCTACAACTTCGGAATGTACCACGGGATAGCTTGCGTAAGAAAACTCAGAGAGCTGAGAAAAACTATAAATTTTTCGAAAAAGTGGGTCTAGATAAGATCAAGTATATTAATTCTTATAGTGCAAATTCTCTTTCGGAGCTTACTAATGAGCAAATTCAAGAGGTTATAAATTATGGATATCTTTTAGAAAAATTACCTCATATGACTGAAATTTCTGAGACGGCCCGTTCCGGAAAAAATTTAACCAAGAATACTCTACTGAAAACTGAGGTAAGTATACCTACTGAATCAATTCTTTTGAATTCATCCCAAGAAAATGATAAAGATTCGAAATTACCAGAAGTTGAGGTAAATACATCTACTAAATCTATTCCTACTGATTCAGAAAAATTACCAAATACCAAAGCAAGTGTACCATCCCCATCCTATGTAAATATATCTAACAAATCCTGACCTTCAATTTCTGTCTTACCCGATGATCTGAAAGAGAAACAAAAACATGTTATCAAAATGGCATTGGAACGGTTTTCCGTTTTATCTTTGAAATATAGTAATGAATCTGGTGATTATTTTAACAGTTCAATATTCTGCCCTTTATGCAATAAAGATCATAAAAAAGAAAATATAAGAGATAATATAAAGGGTGAATGGGATGGTGAGGATTATGTTAATACAAAAACTTATCGTCTCAATTGTTGGGAAAATTATCAAAATCCAATCCAAATAGTAACTGTGAAAGCATAGATCACTGATTATATGATGATTAATATACAGTATATCTATTTTTTGCTGGATAAGCATCACGCATTATTTATCGGGCGCATCAAGTCGTATCAGAAAATTAAATCATGTTTGCACGATGTTTGTAGCACATCCGAAATAGATCTTACATGCTCAAAATAGATTTTATATGCCTGAATAGATTCCACATGTCTGGAATAGATTTTTTCATTCATGCAACAATCACGGAAGTTGATTCATATACTCAATTAATTATTGTTTATACTGGATAATATATATACAATATATACAATATATACACGAGCAATTTTATATATAAATAGGATGCCTGAACTCGAGAAACTTTACTCCCCACACTCTACACCTTCTCTGAAAAATCCATTATATCACACAAATAACCATTCTGTGACTGTCTTTAGTAATACAGATACTCTGAACCTATCCTACCCAATATATATAAAAATTACTACTCGACATAAGCCAGTATTGGTAATATAACATCTGAAACTCTTCACAGCTCTAAAGACATATGTCTCGTATTTCTGAACATGAAATCGAGGCCTATAAAATCGATATTATATATAACTATATTGATGAATTGGAAATGATTTTGAGCTAGATCTGAGGAATAGAGCGTTTCTATCCGAGTTAGATACTAAAGAGCTAAAAGATAATGAGCTAGAGAGATTGACAATGTTCTCAACTGTAGATAGTCTTGATTCTATACCCTTACACACTGAACAACTTCTTTATCTTTTAAGCATAAACCTAAATTCACAAAAAATGAATTCGATATATTCATACATATAGTTGATAAAATCCAATAGATCTAAATCTCTAAATATGATATAAATAATATAATCTCTAAAAACACTACAAATAGGTCATAAAATGGTTAGCATAAGCGAAAGACGTGGAACTAATTGTACTGATGCTGAATGGGATGAATATGTAGAGATGTCTCAAGTTCACACTAATAAAACTCTTAGTGAGTGGATGAAACAGATTTGGGAACATCTTACGTATTTTAGGAAAAATGATCTCCTACCTAATAACAGCAAAAAATACCTTGAAGCTAGAAAAACGATAATGTATTGGAGTGAAGTTAATGGATTTTATAAATTCCATTCAATCGATCTTGGTATTGCTATCTGTTTCTCCTGCGATCGGTTAGTGTATACAGGTCCACAAACCAAAAATATAGGAAATTATAACCGTACATCAGCAAATTTCTGATACAGTTAGAAATCGATTGCCAACCATATTCATTGGCAATCGATTACCAACACCCCCACCGATTATTATCGATTATTGATCAATCGATAATAATCAGTTTTTTTATTATCGTTTACAAATGATAGAAATCGTTTCCTATCATTTTCTATCGTTTACAAACGATTGCTATCGTTTGTAAACGATAATAAAAAAACTGA